GGGGAGGGGGCAGAACAGGTTTCAGATACAGGATATTAAGCATACACGTACTTCAGATTGAACTGGTTGCTTGCTTTGCAAGTTTTCATTTCCCAAATGACTGCCTTGGCAAGCGCAATACCTACCAGGCTCAACGCTGGTCTCGCGCTGCCGCTTCCCGCGCTCTCATGGACCCGGGAGGAGGAAGGCGTGAAGGGAATCCCGAAGGCGCGAAAACCTCGCGCATGCGCAGGCCTTCCGCCTGCGACAGCCCAGTAGGCCGGCCGAAGCGAGCGGCGATGGGATGTGGGAGGGAGCTCGCTCGCCGCCCTGCGTGTGCCTATGTGGGGCACGTTACAGCCCCGTGACGTCAGCGCCACGCAGGCAGCCAGGCAGGCAGACGGCGAGAGCCCCGCGCTGGGCGGCCTCTCCTCGCCGCCGCCGCCCCGCCTCTCGCCGCCCGACTCGCCCGCCTCCCTCCAGGCAACATCTCGCGGCACACCAGGCAACGTCTCGCGGCACACTAGTGTGCCGCGGAACACCGGTTGGGAAACACTGCTCTACAGCACATGCAGAAACTGCCTTCTTGACCATTGGACCCCTTATTGGTCCCGTCTGCTCAACCCTCTGGAGCCTGTCTCTGCATGCAGGGAAAGTCCCTAACTCACAGAAGGAGAGCCTTTGGCTACCCTCATCACACTGGCCTGCGAGAGCTCGAGTTAGAGAACAGCCTTTACCAAAGGTGTCATGGGCTTTGAAGACACTCAAACTCAGGAGAAATGTGCTAGGAGGAAGGCATGCTTGGCAAATCGACACCGTGATCAGCTCCTGCCCGGAAACCAAAGTCACCACTGTGGAAGGACGTGTGGATCCAGAATTGGCCTCCACAGTCACTTACTGACTCATTGTTAAAACCCTGTTTACGGAAGACAATCTTACTCGGCTACGAGTGATCGCCAAAGAAGAAGAAGCCAGCCAGTCTAAGCCCTTCCCAAGGTGTGTCTGCTGTCGCATGCTGACAGCTTCTAGGAGCCACAGGTGAGAGGTGAGTGCAGGGTGGGGACCAAAGGTGGACAAACTACCCCAGAAGGAGCACAACATGTTCTCCACCAGAGGAACTACCCCATACACCCCTCAAGGCCAAGTACGCTATTGTATTCAAATTGACTTTTCGATATGTATAAGGAGAAATGAAGTATCAGGCAACAGTTGAATGTTGCAGGTCTAATTCAGCTGTGGGGATCAGGTGAAGTCAAAAGCCATGAGAGCAACTCTAAAGTGATTTATCTAGTCTCCATGACTTCTACAGGTAATCATAGTCCCATCATTCCAATATTTCTTGCTCTTGATCGTCTTCTATAATTCAGATTGTGGCTTTGAGTCCCACACAAGCAAGGATGCACTGGCAGAAGCTCAGGAGAGTTGTTTGTTCAGCATGTTATTGCCAAATTGATGAGAGGATTGGGATGGTTTTCTGCCTTGGGTATAATTCTGCATCCCTCTGCATGTCATGGCTTTGTCTTCTGTCTCTTAGCCAGCCTGTGAAACAGCTAGATTCTATGTATTCCAAAGCAGGGTGGTTTATGAGTGGAAAAACCCAGCTCGCTCTTCCCCCTGCCTGGGATAACACTGATCCCCAGGTTCATAAGAATAAATGAAAGACTTGTCAGCTGGAAAAGACTTCTATCGCATGACAGGTGCTTTTATTTTAATTAACTGAAGGGGATAGTAAAATCAACAGTCACACATCAATCTAGATCAGGCTTCTAAAACAGAATATTGCAAATGGCTTCCATGGTGCTATATCTTGCAGTACAAGGGTCAATAGTTCAGGTTTTGGGAAACAGAGCAGGTTGAAGATAAGGTCCAAGGCAGGCAGGGACGGGAGACCTCTGATCCTCCAGATATTGTGGGGACTACAGCCCCTGCCATTCCTGTCCATTGGTCATTCTGGCTGGTACTGATGGGAGTTTGAGTCCAGCAAGGAGTCTAAAGCAAGGGCTTCAGAATGTAATCTCCTTCTGGATAGCACCATGAAGATAACAACAACAACAACAACAACAACAACAACAACAACAACAACAACAACAACAACAACAACAACAACTCTGGGCGGCTTCCAACAAAATATTAAAATACAATAGTCCTTCAAATATTAAAAGCTTCCCTAAACAGGGCTGCCTTCAGTTGCCTCCTAAAAGTCTGGTAGTTGTTTTTTCCTTTGACATCTGGTGGAAGGGTGTTCCACAGAGCGGCTGCCACTACCGAGAAGGCCCTCTGCCTGGTTCCCTGTAACTTTGCTTCTCACAGTGAGGGAACCACCAGAAGACCCTCAGAGCTGGACCCCAGTGTCTGGTCAGAATGATGGGTGTTATTTTTGGTTATCAGGACAAGCCCACACGATTGGCGCTTCCACATAATATGGGAAGCAACTATGGAAGAGGCCAAAGGACCCTGGTTTAGAAAGCATGAATGATACATCTGCTCTTGCTGTGGGACTTTCAACACTTTTGCCAGATGGCAGCATCATGTTCTGAGTCACAAGCTGATGTTTAAATTTAGTTTTACAAACCAGTTTGTGTTGCTCTGTTGGCGAACTGATATTTGGCAAGAAAAGGAGGAATCTGCTGCACGTATCGTTTTCCTGATTTTATCTGTGTTTTATTGGGAACTATTTCATGCATGCTTGTTTTTTATAACAGTTTTGTGGGTTTTAGGATGCTGTAGGATGCACACTGCTTCGAGAGTTTTGTAATATAAAGGTAAAGGTAAAGGTACCCTTGCCTGTACAGGCCAGTCTTGACAGACTCTAGGGTTGTGCGCCCATCTCACTTAAGAGGCCGGGGGCCAGCGCTGTCCGCAGACACTTCCAGGTCACGTAGCCAGCGTGACAAAGTTGCATCTGGTGAGCCAGCGCAGCACACGGAAACGCCGTTTACCTTCCCGCCAGTAAGCGGTCCCTATTTATCTACTTGCACCCGGGGGTGCTTTCGAACTGCTAGGTTGGCAGGCGCTGGGACCGAGCAACGGGAGCGCACCCCGCTGCGGGGATTCGAACCACCGACCTTTCGATCGGCAAGCCCTAGGCGCTGAGGCTTTTACCCACATAGCCACCCGCGTCCCGGTGATATAAGCAGATATAAGTTTGTAATATAAGCAGTCTCTAAATCTTTCTATATAATATATACCCCAGAAACATTGTTACGAAACCTCATGAGATAAGGGAGTTGGGGTTGGGAGCTCAAAACCTTTCCTAGCCTTCAAAATAATTGCTCCCTCCTGGAGACCGGCACCTCCTGCCGACATTCCTTGACCTGCCCTATGCATGTTTACTCAGAAGTAAACCCTACTGTGCTCAATGGGACTTGCCCCCTAGCAAATATGTTAAGTTAGGATTGGCACTTTAGTTTGGGGGTGGGGGCCTGGGGGGGCCCTTCAAATGTAATTGGACTACAACTCCCATCTTCCTTTCCCTTTGCCATGCTGGCAGGGGTTGATAGGAGTTGGAGTCCCACAAAAATATGTTTTAGCCTTTTAACAGCAGTAGGAAATGTGTTGCGCCCATGAGAGCCCTTACCCCAAGATTTGTTACAACTATTCCCCTCATAGCAGGGATGGTGATCCTGCAGCCTTGTGGGTGTTTTTGAGCTCCATATGATAGGTTGGGGCATGTATTCCAAGCTCTGGAGGGCACCAGTTTCCCTACCCTAAGGGGTGAGCATTGTGTGTTCCCCCTGTGCTTGTGATCCCCCACATTTCTCTCCAGAAGTTTGCTTGAATGTAGCATGACTAAAATAAGAAAGGTTGCTTCTGGTCCGTTCTTCTATACACTTGTGGGGTTTTATGTTTATTTTGGGCTCCTGCTGAACTCTGGGTCTCTCGATCTCAATCCAATGTATTCCTATGTCTATGATGATGGACCATTGCAGTGCAGGTGTTGCTGGCAGAAATTTGAGGGACCCTTGTGGCTCTAGTCCATTGGATATGATGCCTAAAGACCACTGTTTAAGCTGAGGTTCAATGCGTTCACAATGGGTTCAACCATTTGAAGCTAGTCCCTAAAAACTACCCCTTTGTAGTTGTCCCCTAAAAACCACCGTGTAAGCAATTATGTTGATGTAGAGATGATCCCTGAGAAGACCCAATGCATTCAGATGGAACCAGTGCATTGCAATGGCCATTGCCATTGGGTACTTCCTTCCCTAGATACTTCTCTGCAGCATTCTGCTTGCAAAATCTGCATAGCACAGGGAAACAGAAGCTTTTCCCACCTGAGCGCCACATTCCCTTCTAGGGGATTTCCTGGGGCCCCACATCCCAGTGGTGGGCAAGGAGCAGAGACATATGTGGGTAGAGCAAGTGTAGGTTTGTACAGTAGGCTGGTTTCTACACACATCCACAGACCCCTCTCTACTCTCCAGAAGCGTTATCAAAGCATGGCCAGTGAAGGGGGTTGCAATGGAGAGCCAGAGTGGTGTAGTGGTTAAGAGCGGGAGTCTCATAATCTGGGAAACCAGGTTCGAGTCTCCGCTCCTCCACATGCAGCTGCTGGGTGACCTTGGGCCAGTCACACTTCTCTGAAGTCTCTCAGCCCCACTCACCTCACAGAGTGTTTGTTGTGGGGGAGGAAGGGAAAGGAGAATGTTAGCCGCTTTGAGACTCCTTAAAGGGAGTGAAAGGCGGGATATCAAATCCAAACTCTTCTCTTCCAAACTCTCAAGGGCCAGACCGGGAGGAGTTGAGGGCCACATTTGGCCCCTCCGCCTGAAGTTCCCCATCACTTACATAGTATGTGACTAAAGGTGATAGTCATAATACTTGTAGTATTGTGGCACTGGTTTATTTAAAATTGTTGTGTTAATTTAAATGACTTATTTATTTATTTTTTTAAAGTCATGTGAGAACACTGGCAAAAATAGAAGCCTTTCTCTCCCAAATAATCCTTCTCTCTCTCTCCGCTTTCTGTCTCTCTTTCGGAACAAACCTTTTGTATACTAAAGATATTTTGATGCCACCCACAGGAAGAAGATGGTATTTTTGGTTCCTCTGCCTTTCTTCCTTGGAACAGCTGAACATCCTATTGGTGGGGAGGAAAACCTGATCTCTTCAGCAGTGCTGGATGGAGACGTAGCAGTTAAATCGAGCAAAGAGTCGAACTGGTGAGAAGCATATCAGAGTGATATATAAATAACCACAGGGTGAGATTCAAGGCTGTTTCTTCTATACATAATAATGTCTAGGCTCTGTGGCTCTGCCACCCCCATCCCTAGGCTGGTTTATGAGACAAGCAAAGACAGGAAACATGCTTTAAAAATATTCCTCTTGGAGCAGTTAAATGATGATCCTGTACATAACATGAAGCACATTGTGTTTGTCTATAATTCCCCCCCAGTATTTTTCTGGAACAATATGCACTAGATTAGTGGTTGGTAGAAGGTAGATTTGTATTCTCTATAGTCAATTTCTGGGGTGATAGATCAGCAACAGTAATGATAGCAAAACAACTTTTCCTGTCTAAATTGGGCAGCTTAAATGAAGGAAGTTAACCAGGGACGGACTTTTATATGAAAGGACTGTGAGTTCTGATCTCACACAGAAAACAAATCTCTAGGCTCAGAATGTGCTCAGAGGTGCCCTGCTCTTTAATACAAACTGTACAACTTTTGTACCTGGCACTCATTGGTAGTTCTTGGGGTTCTTGTGTAAAGACAAACAATTTGGTCTCACAAGCCAGAATTCAGCCCACACTCCCATCGGAGCCCCCGCCTGATGCAAGGGCATGGTGAATGTGACTAAGCAACTTCTCAGAAATACAAAATTATACAGTTTGAAAAAGGGCAAAAAAAAGTATATAGGCATGGAAAGATAGAGGGCAGAAGTGGAGGAAGCAATACCTAACAAGGAATGGGGATATATATGTTTGATTGAATAACCTGCTCAGTTCGCAGCATGCTTAAACCTTAACCTGTTATTTGCCCTTATACCTCTGGAACTGCTTCTTGTTCTTTGTCAAGGTGTGGTATGGTGGAAGGTGGGGGGAATGCATGCAAATAAGGGACAGGAAGGGTGTGGGAACGAGAAACTCCTTTTACTTGACTAAGTCAGTTCCATTGGCTCAGTGCTCAGTTGCTCTCCAGGGTCCTGGACTTTTCAAAGGATTGACCATGGGATCTAACCTATGCAAAGTTCAGCGGCTGAGCTGTGCATTCCTCTTTTAAATAAAAGGGTAACTGTGGTGCACAGATGCTTGCAAAACCACGAGAGACAGAAAGGTATTTTTTTTAAAAAAACAACAACTGGAAGAGCCAATCCTCACAATGCATTTGATATCCATTCAAGCTGTTTCCTGGTGAACAACTGTAACCAGGAAGTTCTGGGCAGGTAGTTCTGTGAATGCGGTGGCTATGTAAATACAGTATGCTGGCATGTCTTTGGTCCTCGCTACATACCCCAAATCACCCCATTCACAGGCTGCATTTGCTACACCCAGGAAGGCTGGGACTGCTTGAAGCAGTAGCTCAGTTGGTAGAGCAAGAGATTCTAAGTCTCAGTTGTGGGTTTGAGCCCCACGTTGGGCAAAGGATTCCTGCACTGCAGGGGGTTGGACTAGATGACCCTTGGGGTCCCTTCCAACTCTACAATTTTAGGATTTTATGACACATATTATGTCAATGGCATTCAGAAACTCAATTCTGTGCTCTAATCACAAGAAGGAATTATGGAAGATGAACAACCTAGGCTTATATATACAGACCAAACACTGGCTAAATGTGTTTGAGCTGCAATGATAGGATCCTAATTCCACTGAACTGGGAATAATTCCAATAGAATTCAAAAGGATTTGCTTCTGAGTAGACATGGTTAAGATTGCGCTGCAAATTAAGAAAACCTGTTCTTTCTTTCGCATTCCTTAGTCATCATATTCCATATTCCTCTGATAGGACTAGCCTGGGGCACTATGATGAAATCGATGTCCCTGGTGTTATTAACCTCTGACATCTTGTATACAAACCCCAGATGTGAAAATGAACTTTGCTGCTGAAGATCAGAAATGGTTAAAACCTTAAGCTGTTTCGCCGTAGGTGTTCTAAATAAGGAACTAGGAAGACAACACCGCCTTGTACATTGACAGTAATGGGTGCAGGAAGGAGGTAAGGGGAAAACACACAGGAAACTGATGATTAGGAGGAGATGTTACAGGTAAATGTAAATCTCACTCAGAATTACAGCAGGGAATTATGTTTATTTTTTGCAGATGCTCATTGGGTCTTGTACATCTTTGAGGTTGCATGAGGGTAGTCTACTTTCAATAATCATGCCACATGCTCAATGAAAAAGCATTCTTTCCATATGCGCTGCCTATCTGCACTAAGACGAATCTTTAATGTGTTTCCAGCCATAAGATAAAGTGAAATAAAATCCTGGCAGTTGTTAATACATCCTCATTAGAGAGCGAGGGCTTGCTGGCAGGGAAGGCTGGCTCTCCATTACAAGTTGTTGTTGTTGCTGGGTGTCCCTCCTCCCCTTTTACTGTGGAAGCCTTCTGGTGACCAATCATCCTGTGGGCTATGGCAACCACGGGTTATTTCCTGCACTTCATGCATCTCAAAGCCCATGCTCTGCACCAGCGTGACAAGGATTTGCCAGTTTGCCAACTGCTTGAATTCACCAGGGCAAGGGGGAAAATATTCATCATGGCTTCATGCCCTCTTCCCATGAGGAACTGGCTTCCCAAGTAATATATTATTTGTGGATGTGCGTCAAAGACAGGGCTAGGTGGTATTTCAGTAAACCTTTGCTGCTACAGATCTAGGGAGAGTGGCGGTTTGCCTAGGCAGACCCAGGCAGGGCGATACCCACCACAAGACAGGTTGAAGCGGCACCATTAAGGGATATCAAATCATTTATTCATTGTAAATGGATGTACAAATGTACCAACATTTGTATGTTATCTTTCTGCCATCCTGAAATGTGAGGTGGCACATGTGAGGTCCCATCCATAGCTCAGTGGGAAAGCATTTTCATTTCATGCAGAAGGTTCTGGCTTCAAATCTCTAGCATCTCCCTGGCACGGCTGGGAATGTCTCCTGTTGAGAACCCTGAAGAGCACTGCCAATAGTGCAGGCAATACAGTGGTACCTCGGGTTACATATGCTTCAGGTTACATACACTTCAGGTTACAGACTCTGCTAACCCAGAAATAGTGCTTCAGGTTAAGAACTTTGCTTCAGGATGAGAACAGAAATCGTTCTCCGGCGGTGCGGCAGCAGCAGGAGGCCCCATTAGCTAAAGTGGTGCTTCAGGTTAAGAACAGTTTCAGGTTAAGAACGGACCTCCGAACGAATTAAGTACTTAACCTGAGGTACCACTGTACTGTGCTAGATGGATCAATGTTTGGATGGGGTATAAGGCAGTTCCCTATGTTCCTAACCCTGTTATGTACAAACTTGCAACACGTGGGGAAAAATTGTGTATAAACATAGACTTGCCATGGGCAAATTTAACAATATTTGGCCAGAGACCAAAATGGGTGCACCATTCCTTTGTAAGTGAGGCCACACAAAAGTCACACACACACACACACACACACACACCCCTCTCTATCTTGACAGGCAAAAGACATGAGGGCATCCCAACTGAGCAGAAGTGCTTGAGACAAGTGAGGGATATGGCCTGTTGAGAGTCCCAGGGGAAGGATGGAGAGGGCAGGAGAGTCAGATTCAGCTCCCAGGCCTGGGCTCCTCACACCCGCCTCATGTGGGATGTCAGCATCCAAAATGCATGTGCAAAGGGTTAATGGCAAGAACTATGTGGCAGTTGTGGCAATTGGTTCAGTTATGGCAGTTAGTTTAACAGTCTTAACAATTACAGGCATGTTGGCTTGTGCTGCTGTCTGCCTCAGAGTTAGCCAATCTCTTGCAATAGTTTGATCTATGTCGGATGTATTAGCAATTTTAGAAACATCCACCGGCATTGTATATTTAATCTGCAACTGCAAGCACACTGAGCAAAAGTTATCCGGTATTTAAACTTTAAAAGAGTGTCTTGTGAAGGGGGTGGTAAAGGGTAAAGGTACCCCTGCCCATACGGGCCAGTCTTGACAGACTCTAGGGTTGTGCGCCCATCTCACTCTATAGGCCGGGGGCCAGCGCTGTCCGGAGACACTTCCGGGTCACATGGCCAGCGTGACAAGCTGCATCTGGCGAGCCAGCGCAGCACACGGAACGCCGTTTACCTTCCCGCTAGTAAGCGGTCCCTATTTATCTAGTTGCACCTGGGGGTGCTTTCGAACTGCTAGGTTGGCAGGCGCTGGGACGAACGACGGGAGCGCACCCCGCCGCAGGGATTCGAACCGCCGACCTTTCGATCGGCAAGTCCTAGGCGCTGAGGCTTTAACCCACAGCGCCACCCGTGTCCCTGAAGGGGGTGGGGGAGAACTAATTAAAGGGTCAAACCACCCAAGGCTGACTTCCGCCTAGTCTGCTAATGGGAACTAGAGTTTAATTCCAACACCTCAAACCGTGCTTTGGAATGCCATAGCATGGCACGATATCCTTCACGGCGCATTAAGGTGCAGAGGATTTCAGATTTCAGCATAATCCTTTGGAGGTGCTTTGCCAGAGGCCACACAAAGGCAATGGGGCGAGCCCCTTTTTCTCTATTCTGCCACTCCCTCTCTCTTCCACACACATTTCTCTCTCTCTCTCTCTCCCTCTTCCACGCTCTAGTTTCCTGCCACTTTTCCCCTCCCCTTTCCCCTTCCTTGCCACCCCCATGAAATCTGGCCGAGGGCCACACAAAATGAGACAGAGGGCCACAGGTTGCCCACCCCCTCAGGGCTATAACCAGCCCCGAGCTAGAGGTGGGGTGAAAATAAAAGCATCCTCATAGAAACTCTCAGTCCCATAAATCGCCAGGAGGTTTTTGGTTTTTGGACAAACAGTACCTTTTGCACATCTCAGTTGGTTCAGAACGTGGTGCTGATAACACCAAGGTTGCAGGTTTGATCCCCGTTTGGGACAGCTGCCTATTGCAGGGGGTTGGGCTAGAGGATCCTCAGGGATCCAACTCTACGATTCTACCTGATCCTTCATTTGGGAAACCACAACACACATCTTCTCGCTCTCTTTAGCTCCACTTAGCTTCGCGCTGAGCACGTTAGCAATTGACACACTTGAAAGAACTTTAACTGAGCAGGCAGTATATTCTTAAGGCAAACGGCCCCCGGGGAGTATTCTTGCAAAGAGAGAGAGAGAGAGAGAGAGAGAGAGAGAGGTGCGGGAGGGGGGGGGAGAAAAAAAAACCACCACCGGAGAGCTTAATATAAATATAAAGGGGAGGCGAGGGGAGGCGCTGTGCCTGCCCTGTGCCTCCAGGGGGCGCGCGCGCGGGGTTTCTCCGCCTCCTTTTCAGCCCAGGCGCCCGCGCGCGCTCCAGAAGGCGGGCGTCTCTCGCTGCGCGGAGCTGCCTCTCCGCCCGCGCCCAGCCCAGCCCAGCCTCTGTCTCTCTCTCTCTCCCTTCTCCTCCTCAGTCAGAGGCGAGCGCAGCCCGAGAGCGCGGAGGGATGGAGCCCGGCTTCCTGGAGGGATGAAACTCCCGAGCGCCCCACCGGCTCCCTGAGCGCCCCGCTCGCTGCAAGCGAGGATTTGCCAAGAGCGCGGCAGGAGCCCCTCCGTCCTGCGAGGGAGCGAGAAAGAGCCGGTTCGCGGAGCGCTCCATTCTTCCCAGATCCCTTGCTCAGGTAAGGCGGATTCCCCTCGGCTGCTCCGCGTTGCATCCCACCCTCCCAAAAGGCATGCTGGCTAACTTTTTCTCTCCATCTCCAGACGTTTCTGGGGTGTGTTTCTTTCTTTCTCTCCCCCCCAGACCCGCGTTCCCACGTTACGCGGCCCCTGTCGCCGTGCGGAAGGACCCTCAGTCACGGGGGTCTCCCGGGGGAAGTTGGGGACCCCGGACTCTTGGGCAAAGAGCTGTGATTTCGAGTCCACGGGAAACAAAACGGTCCCTTTTTTTTCATAGAGTTGTCCAGTGGGGAAGGGACCCTGGGGGTCGTCTAGTCCAACCCCCTGAAATGCAGGAATAGGCAGCTGTCCCGTGCGGGGATCAAACCTGCAACCTTGGTGTTAGCAGCAGCATGCTCTGGCCAGCTGAGCTATCGGAAGCGGGTTGTGCTCTGTTCGGGTTATTGAGGGGAAATAGGGCGCTGATTGGGCTCCATTCGTCGGGATCCCTTTTATGTCTTTGCGAAGGGACCCCAGCCCAAGTTGGCGAGAGCATGAGTCTCTCTCCCCCCAGCGCTGCCCTCACTGCATGGGCTCCCACAGCTACTGCAGACTCTTTGCCTTGCACTTATTTCCAATCTGGGTGAAGTTGAGAGAGGAAGCAGCCTTGTTATCTGTGGCAGTTACTGGTATAAGTGTATGTATATATATATATGTATCAGTTATTAAGTGTAAGGAATATCTTGAAAAACAATATTCTCTATAAAAAGAAAACCCCTCGATGGGCGTTTTGTTTCAAAACGTTAGATAATCGTCTCCTGTACTGGTTTCTCTGTTTCAAAATCCTCGCACAGCTCCGTTCTCTCTCCTGGTTACTTTGGATATCTGTGGCAGCCCCCTAAGTTGTGGTGCTCCTTCTCCACGGAGGTGCACAGCTTCTGGCGAATGCTGAAAATGCACTTCTTAACCCTGGCTTTTGACACTTGAGGTGTAGAGTTTTAAAACCCACCTTATTTCTGCCATTGTAAATTGTTCTGAGCTGGGGGTTTTAATATTGTGTTTTAATGTTGTAACCCATGCCGGGACCTTAGGGTGAAAGGTGGATAATTGGTCATTATCAGTCTTCATCATCATCATACCCAGTTCACCAACAACTTCTCTTTTTTGGCTCAAAGTACCCACCGATGGACGTCATATCCCTGTTGAGTTTCAGAATCTGACACCTGGCATTGAAGCCTTCCTAACTCCCTTCAGCTGTGCTGTGCTCAGCAGTGATTTCTGATCATCTAGTGATGCTTCATATCTGAGCTGCAGCCCTGTGCTCCTTATTACCTAGGACTGAGCCTGAGCTGGGCTGCTTTCTGAGTAGGCATGCCTAACATTGCGCTTTCATTTTCTGATGAGAAAGCCCAGGCTGAAGCCACCGTTTACAAAAAGAATATACAGCATAATGTGTCAATAAGTATTTCTTCAGACCCAATATAACCCCAAGTGTTTACTGGCATGGCTTCTGTTTGAATGTCTGGTTCCCTGGGCAGTGAAGGGCAATTTTTTGAGAGGCAAATGGGAGTTTGGTGCACAGGAGCAGTAACGGGAACTTGGGTGAGATCTGGGTTCAAATCTGTTGCTTCGTTGACTTCTTCCACCTTAAGTTTTACACGTGCGATGGGTTACCAGTGTTAATAAACAATAATATTGGGGCCGGTTCATAGATTATCTACCTAAAATACTTGCTGCGTTTGCGTAATAACCACAGGACAACCCAAAAGAAGCAACGAGTGTGTGTGCGTGAAAAAAAGATATATACTGTTGTTAGTGGTTTGGGGGAAACTTAAGGAGGGAGCATTTGTCACAAATAGTATCGGGAACAACGGCATTAACGGGAAACATCATTAGAAAGTAAGAAAGAATAGCTTTTGGGAGACCTCTTTGGGAAAATACTGTGTTTTGAAAGGCGACTAACAAATCTACTAAATAAAAAGAGGACTGTAAAATTGCTCGCATTTCTAGTGTTCCTGAGGCACATTTGCCCTCAGAGATAATTGCAACCTTGTCTTGACTAGTAGCATTTTTGTTGCTTTCAAATTGGCTTCTTTTTTGAAAACCTGGATTGGCTAGGATGTACGTTTGGATCCCCTCCCCCTTTCAGCTTCTCTCCTGAATTTGTCTGTGATTCGGGAAGTGCTTCGCGCACCTTGATCCTAGGCATCTTTACTCAGAAATAAGTCCCACTGTGATCAATGGGACTTCCTTTCAAGTAAGTAGGCATAGGATTATAACCTGAATGAAAATGCCATAAATGATTCTCTCTCCTTTCCTGAAGAGGGGGAAAGGATTCCAAAGCAAATTTCAGGGTCTCACCCTTCACCCCAATGTTTGGGGAGGGATATGGAGAATCTGAGCTCAGCTTTGCAGTGGTAGAGGTCCATTGGCTTCTGTTTGCCTGCAGAGAAGGAGATGGCCAGTAGTCCCACCCCGGAAAAAGACCTTTGGGCTTGAGTTGGTGTCAACAAGAAAGGATGCCCATAAACAGCTGTTCATTATTTTATTAAGATTCAATGTTCAGATTTCTTTTATTTTGGTGTGTTTTTTTTAGTGGGGTGGAGCGTTGTATTTTTGAACTGTATTAGTTGCATTTTTGAAAGCTGCAAGAGCTGTTTACCAAAATCAATAAAAGATACTGCCCTATAAACAGGGGAAGGGCTTATTCAGAATACCCCTTGATTGTTTTTGGGGTTTTTTAGTGCCTTGGAGGGTAAATGGTGTTCCTTGTGTTCAGTGCTGACACCACCTATCTATGCATTTGTCCCAAGTAACTAGAACTTTCAGACTGCATAAGGAAACTCTGAGTCAAATATATAATAAATATGCCACATTAAAGGCATCACCCACTTGACGCACAGTCAGAATGGTCAGAAGCAAAGCTTTGGGGTAGTGTAGATTAGGGCTTCCCAAACTTGGGTCTCCAGCTGTTTTTGGACTACAATTCCCACCATCCTTGACCACTGGTCCTGCTAGCTAGGGATGATGGGACTTGTAGTCCAAAAACAGCTGGAGACCCAACTTCAGGAAACCCTGGTGTAGATGCTTTGCTTGAGGATCTGGAGAGCGGACCAGGGATTTGCCTAATGCAAAAAGCTTGCAGGAACTTGAAAGAACAACCGTTTTATGGGATGTAGCATTCTTTGGAACTCATTGTCAGGGGATGTGGTAGCAACTGTCAAGAGCTGAAACCGGTTTCAGAAACAAGGATGTTGTCCAATGTGATATGATTTTAGTCGTTTATGTGCCACCCATTAATGGGTGATTTATTCATTTATTTATTTAGTAAAATACGCTTGAAATCAATCAGAAACCATCAATATGAAAAGCTAGAATTCCAGTAGAGCCCCCTGCCCCAGCAGAAAACCAGCACAAAGAAGCATAAGATAAATTAGAAACAACACCCAAAGCTATCAAACATGGGAAATAAAAATGTTCAAAGAAGTGAAGCGTACGGAGCCTCAATTATTAAAAAGCCTGTGCGTGTTTACTTAGGCGTACACGACTATATGCATGCAAAAGGCTGGTTAATGTGGGTGTGTAAGAAAAACAGTTCCATGCATTTTTGGCAGGCAGTGTGTGGTTCAGGTCCCTCAACCTACACTCGCTATCCTTGCAGCTGGATTTATTCTTAGTAGGTCTGCATAGGATTGTATTGTAAACCAGGTCACTTCACTGAAGCATCCCTTGTTAGCATGCCAGAGTTCTGTGGGTGCCCGGCTAGCATGCTAACACTGCATGCGTACTGGCATCTGAGAATCCTGGTTTAAAAGAGTTGCTGTGTGTATTGGAGATGGTGCACAGGTGTGATTTCCTTACGTGTTTGATGTTCTATTTGAATTGGACCAAAGTCCCGGGGGGCAGGGGGGCCTTGATAGGATTGCAACTTCAAGCACAGCTGTGAAAAATAGGAATATTTCCCCAATCCCCAAAGAGATTTATTTAGCATATGCCCCATTCATTTTAATGAATTTTGCATCTGAATAAGAAGCTTAGAGTTGCAGCTCAAGGTTGCCATTCTAAGTTCTTCAGACACTTGCTAGAGTCAAACAGATTTTGCATCGGAGTAATAAATTTGGGAAGGGATGCAGGTGGCGCTGTGGGTTAAACCACAGAGCCTAGGACTTGCCGATCAGAAGGTCGGCGGTTCAAATCCCCGCAACAGGGTGAGTTCCCTGCTCCTGCCAACCTAGCAGTTCGAAAGCTCGTCAAAGTGCAAGTAGATAAATAGGTACCACTCCGGCGGGAAGGTAAACGACGTTTCCGTGCGCTGCTCTGGTTCGCCAGAAGTTGCTTAGTCATGCTGGTCACATGACCCGGAAGCTGTACGCCGGCTCCCTCGGCCAATAAAGCGAGATGAGTGCTGCAACCCCAGAGTTGGCCACGCCTGGACCTAATGGTCAGGGGTCCCTTTACCTTTACCTTAATAAGTTTGGCCTTGCCTCTTGGGGTTCTAATACTGCAATTCTAATGACACGTACTGAACGTGAAACACTGTAATATGTGTGTGCTCAGGGGTGAGCCCCTATGAGTTCCATTAGATTTACCCCATGGGCATTGCTAGGCACTGAAAAAGACTCTGGGAACAGAGTCAAAACACAAATTTCTCTCTAGGAATATTCAGAGGGCAGGTGACTGTTAGCAATCTTTGGCATCATGCTCGGCCACCTTGTGAGCAAAGTTTTTTTGTTTTAGAAAAAGTTTAAAGAGTAGGGTGGGAGAAGAAGGGAAAGGAGACCCAGGGTCCAGACCTGAGGTTTGGGCCCGCTTAACCACCCCAACAACTCTGCTGAACTTACTCCCAGGGTAGGATGTGTGCGTAGGATTGTGGTGCAACTCTGTTGAACGAAATAGGCTTTACTTCCACATAAGCCTGCGGCTTTCACTCTTTTGTCAGAGCTAGTTCCACTGACATATATGGAAGGTGATCCTATGCAGGCTCCTGTGGAAGTAAATCTTATTGCATCCACTGGTGCTA